TTAAGTTAACTGGATCTTAAGAGCTTTTCACCTTCCAGAGCACTGCTGTCCAATAGAAATAGAATGTGGGTCAGCCAGTGGCATGGTGGTTAAGGTGACTGGATCCCACTTGGCTGACCACATAGTTGAATCCTGGACCCAACACCTTGAAAAATATGCCAAATGTGTGTGTCTGCCCGAAACACCAGAAGAAATGGATGAGAAGGGGTTGTGGAGTGACCAGCCCCCACAGGAGATGCTTTCTTATTTTTCCATTCTCTCTTTCTGTGTGTATGTCTGGTGAGCACCTGCACACTCTGGCAAAATTTAAGGAAGAAGAACACAAGTCATGGGACCAAGCAGATGGCATAATGGTCATGTTGCTGGACTCCCACATAGTTGACCAAGGTTCAAGTTCTGGACCTGTTGGCTTAAAACTCATACCAGGAGCATGTGTGCATGGCCGAAATCCTAAGAGGAGAATGGAGGGAAGGGATTGCAGTGTGGCCATCCCTCCTGGGGGGTAATTTCTCACTTTCTGTCTTTCTCGTGAGTACACGCGCCCTATAGCAAAAGTCTCTCAAAAAAAAAAGGAATACTAGTCACAAATATCACTCAAAATTTTCTAGTAACCAAATCAAAGTATGAAAAATACCATGATTAAACCACATGTGAACTCCTACCAAAAAAAATTTTAAATGATGAGATTGACGTTAATATTTTATTTAACCTAATATATCCAAAATATTCATTTTGTAATATTTTAAAATATATTTTGTATGCTTATTTATTTTTCCCATGAGCAAGAGAGACAGAGAAAGGGACAGCACCCCCAACAGGGTCCCGACGATGCACCCATGCCAGCTTTCTGCTAGCCCTGGATCACTGGCAAGCACATGTCAGGTACTCAGGGCAGTCTCCAGACTCAAACCAGGAGCCATCCCATGCAGGACTGCCCCACAGAGCATGGCATTGTGCCACTGTGCCACTACCTGATTCTCCAAATATCATTTCAACATGTAATCAGTATGAAAATCAATAATTATATTTTTGTACTACGCCTTCCATATTTGGTGCTTCGTACTGAGATGTATTTTACGCATCTCCGCTAGAACAAGTCATGTCTCAAGCACTCAACAGCCACACGTGCCTGGTGGCTACTGTATTGGGAAACCCAGGTCCAGAATTTCTTCTGAAAATGCAGACAGCTTAGGGAGGGGTGGGACTGTCACCCTGTGGAGAAAAAGGAAAAGGACAGAGTACAGACCACAGCTTTAAGTCATCACCCTCATCTTACAGAGGGAGAGGCTGAGCCCCAGAGAGGGGCAGCACCAAGTTTGCAGTGGAGCTTGAGCACAGTCCTGGGGTTTCTAGCTTTTAGGTTTGGCCCCAGAGCAGGCTGCCACTCTGCTTGCTGGTTTCTGAGTTCGGAGCTGAGGGCCAGGCAGAGAAGCTCCAGGGAGAACTCTTCCCCTTTAAATCCAGGCTTCATTAACATTCTTATCAAATTCTAGGGAGCTGGCTATCAGGAACCTCCCACAGGAAACAGACTGTCCACAATGGCCCCAGATAAGTATCAAACCCAGCCAGCCCTGCACTGCAGAGTCGGCCTCTGCAAAGCAGGGATAATGGGTACCTTGCCTATCTCGGGAAATTACTGAAATGAAATTCTGCAAACTTGGTTTCCCAACACTCAGAAGAGACATGGCTTTGGAACTTCCCACATTCCTCCACTCAGACTCCTCCCATCCCAAAGGAAATAAAGCTCAATATCCTTTCCAAAGCTTCTGAGACCCCCTTCCCCATCTCACAGCCCATCCACCTCGTAGTCCAGAGCGGTCCCACCTTCTCTTCACTAAGGTGGCTGCTCAGTGTCCGCTCCTCCAAGAAGCATTCTTTCTCTACCCACCCTGCAACCCACCTTACAAACGAACAGCACGCCCACCTGCTCTGCCCCCTTCCTTTGCTTTGCATTTCTTCTGAGCACCATCTATTTCTTTACATGGCCTCCTCTCCGTGCCAGCTCCACATGGGCAGGGACCTTATCTGTCCTGACTTCTGCTGCATCCCCATCATGCACACGTAAGAAAGTAGCTGCTAACCCATGCTGAGGGCGTACCATGTGCCCGGCCCAGTTCTACACACTTTCCAGGTAGCAACCCAGGCACTTCCTCATTCCGAGGGGGTACTATTTTAACCCCATTACACAGAGGAGAATGAGGCACAGAGAAGTTTGTTCACTTGCCTGAGGTCTCACAGACAGGAAGTGACACAGCCAGGATTCACACCTGGGCACGTTGGCTTCGAGTTACATACAACTCTTGACCTCTACTCTAGTCTGTCAGAATGTGCCATCATGGGGCCAGCCCTGGTGGTTAAGTGAGCTTGATCCCACATGACTAACCATGCAGTTCGAGTCCTGGGCCTGGCAGCTTGAGTGTGTGCATGCAAACATGTGTACCCAAAATCCTGCAAGGAGGGAGAAATGGAGGAGAATAGGTTGCAGCATGACCATTCCTCATGGAGGACTGTTTTCTCACTTCCCATCTCTCTGTCTCTCTCCAGTGAGCACATGTGCCCGTTGGCAAATTGAAGAAAAAAAAAAAAGAAGAAGAATGTTCCATGGTTTTGAGTGAATGAGAACTAGATGAAAAGGAATCAAAAAGACATAAAGACATTCCCTCCGTATCCAAGCTGGCCCTGGCTTAGCCAAACCACTTGCTCTGTCCTACCTGAAGGAAAGCAAGTTGGGGGAGGGCTACAGCCGGCCCACAGTGGCTGTCTACTCCATCAGACTGCCCTCTGTTGCTCCAAAGTACATCCTCAAACCGAATTGTCTGCTGCCTCTGTCTCTCCAGATAAACAGTGGGCTCTGGGAAGCCCCAAAGCCCCAGATCTGGTCATAGCTGGGTTTCTGGCTCCCAGCCCTCAGTAGATGCTCAATGCCTATTGGAGAAAAGAGCCAGAGAGCAAAGGGACAGCAGCCCCTGCACTCCAACCCTGTGTCAACCCCCCTAGAGAGGGATTCTCTCCACTTTTCATGATACATATACTGGCTCAGCTCGTTTTCCATGTATTAACATCCCAAGGGGATGAGTGCTACCATCCCCATTTATGCAACTCAGTTTGAACGTGTCGCATCTCAAGCACTCAATAACCACACGTGCCTGGTTGCTACTGTGTTGAAAAAGCCAGGTCCGGAATCTCTTCTGAAAATGCAGACAGCCTGGGGAGGGTGTGATTGTCCCCTGAGAGGGAAAGACCCAGGGTCTAGAGCAGAGTTTCTGCAAACTACATCCCACCAGCCAAACCCACCACTGCCTGTTAATATAAATGAAATTTTACTGGAACACAGCCTGGGTTTACACTTTTGTGTAGTGTGCCCAGATGTTTGTATGTTACGACAGCAGAGCTGAGTAGCTGTGATAAAAACTCTAAAGCCTACAAAGTCTGAAACAACCCCAGCTCTTTATGGAGGTTTGTGAGCCATGGCCTAGCATGTCAGTGGCTGGGGCATGGTGGAGGACAGGCCAAGGGCAGCGAGGAGGTCCGCACCAAGAGGTCAGCCATTCCGTGATGCACACCCATCCTGAAACCACTGAGAGCCAAGACCATCACGTTGAAGGAGTGACAGGAGCTGAGAATGATGGGAATGGCCCAAGGGTCAGCAGGGTGAATGCACCTGCCAGGGTCTCTGCCCTTTGGGCCTTTACACTCAGAACTCCCATTGCCTGTGACTTTCTCTCCTCCATTGTTCAGGAAAACTTGTCACTCAGGAATAGGTCAGAGGTCACCACCATACTCCTTCCCTGATCTCCTCCACTACCCTGCTGGCCCCCTTCAGTGCCCCCAGAACTCAGGTGCTCCTGAGCATCCAGTGATGGGCCTCATAGGTGTGGCCGCCAGCCCCACCTGGGGCGTCTGGAGGGCACAGCCTTGCTCCTATGAGTGAGCAGGTAGGATGCCTGGGCATGAGCACACCTGCAGAGGCCCCACCCCAATCCCATGAGCAGGCTGAGGACACCAAGATGACCTGGGCACAGTTAAAGACCAGCTGGGCGGTCCTGAGCAGTAAATTATGGTCCCCAGACCTAAGGAGGTGGCCAGGCCCTCAGCAAGGATGGCTATGATGGTAGTACTCCTGGGACCAGTCATAACACAACGCGGGCCAGCCAGACACCAGTGGCCATGACCCCATCTCTTCCTCCACGTCGGTGATGGGCAAACAGGACCACAGACAGACCCCAGACAGAGCCAGGGGTCAGCGTACAAAAACAAAAGGTTTATTTATAAGCAAGAATGCTGTCCAGCACACAGTGCAA